ACTACAATCGTTATTAATGATAAATTTATTAACTTATCAATACAATCACTCCAATTCAAAATGTTCGTTTTTTGATTAATTAGAATTTTATAAAATTACTAAAATAAATTATACAAAATTTTATGAAATAGATGGATGGATTGTAAATTATTATTATTATTATTGCTATTATAATTATAATTACTAATTATTGTTGCTACTTTTATAATAAATATAATTACAATTCGTTGTAACCAATATTAAAACGAAGATATTTCCTCAATTTTCTTTCTATCCTTCTTTCTTCTTTTTCATCTTTTACCATTTTATCAAATTAAATCCATTTTCAACCTAATTCTTTCTTCTTTAATAATATTTCAAAATTTTTATAAATTTTTTACAGAATTTATTTAGCAAAAATTTATTTATTGTTTTAAAAAAAAAGAAAATAGAAACAAAAAAAAAAAAAAAAAACAAACTTAAATAACGCATATTTGTTGTATTAGTTAAAATTACATTTGAAAATTATTTTGCAGAAAAATTGAATTTAATATTAATTAAGTAATTAATTAACAATATCCTATTTTTTCTTTGTTATAAAAACAAAAGATAAATAAATAAGACTTTGATACAAACAATAGTTTTTCTTTTCCAAACATTTAGGGTAATTTAAATGAGAAATGATTTACTGAATAAAATGTATTAACTTTTACAAACTTGTTTACAAAAAAAAAAAGAAATAATCCATCAATCTCTTACAAAAATGATTCATCAAAAAAGAAAGATTAAAATTTGATTAATTGAAAAAAAGTATAAATATTTTATAATTAATTCTCTTTAAGTTTGCATAGTTTCATTTAAGAAATTATATAAAATATTTGTTATATTTGATTGGACTAATCAAACTTTTAAATTTAATTTCAAATAAACAATGATTGTATTATAAAATTTTTTCTCTTTTTTTTATTGATTATAAAAATTTAAAAAAAAAAAAAGGAAAAATGTTCTAAAATGTGAACCAATATTACATTATTTTTTTAACAATTATTATAATTAAAAACAATTTCAGCAATATCAAATTGCCAAAATTCAAATATTTAATAAAATTAATTATTAAAATTTTTTATCATTTTATAAAAATAAAAACATTTGTGATTTTCTAACGTTAGCTACTGTTAGATTTTAAAATATTTTTTCATGTTTATGAAAATTGAGAGATATTTTTATAATTTATAGAAGTTAAAATTGATTTCAAATTTTTAAACATTAATTAGCGTTTAATTCATGTTGAATATTAGAAGTTAAAAAATTAAAAAAAAAAATTAAAGAAGTGAATTAATACTATTTTATCTTTCTATCAATTATAAAATTAACGAAATTTTCAATTTCTAAAATACTATTTGTTTTTAAAAAATAATCATTTAAAAGAAGAAAGATGAAAAATACTTTAATTTATCATTCATTATGCGATATTTATTTATATTAAAATTATTCATCCAAAAAAAAAAAAAAAAAAAAAAAAAAAAAGAAAATAATAATAAATCTTCAAAGAAAAAAAGGAAATCGAAATTTCATTAACGACCGATTTTGTAAAACAAATTGTCAATTTTACAAAAAAATTAGTTACACTTGTCGTAAACAGAATAATTGAAAAATGTGAAATTAGAAGGAAATAAAAACTAAAATTAAAATTTAAAAAAAAAAAAAAAAAAAAAAAATGAGAAGAAATGAAATAATTTATGCCAAGGTCATTTTAATTGGTAATTTTTCCTTCTCTTCTTTCCATCTTATCGCATTTTATTATTTTTTTTTTTTTTTTTCTTTCTTTCTTTTGGATTTTAATTTATTTTATTGTTGAAAAGAAGAAAATTCGATCATAAATGATTCGTTAAATTTTTAATTTTATCATTTTTTTTTTAAAGCAAAATGTTAGTTTGATTAATTTTCAAAATATTAAAAAGAAGAATGAAATGGTTAATTTATTAGTGAAATTAAATTGAATTTTGTCAACAAAAAAAAAAGATTTAAATGAAAGACACAAAGTAATTAATTAATTAACAGTGACATTCACTGTTAATAACAAATTTTTTTTTTTTTTTTCTAAAATAAAGCTATACAATTTGATGGTATTAAATTAAAAAAGAAAAGGAGAGAGAGAGAGAGAGAGAGAGAGAGAGAGAGAGAGGGAAAAAAAGAAAAGCGGTCATTTACATCGTTCCGCTTCAATATTTTCTTATCTATTAATGGTAGCGAAAGAAAAATAATTGGCCAATTTAAATTGACGAAAGAGAAAGTTTATTTTCTTGGCCTAAAAATGATTTGAAAGGGAAGGAAAAAAAAATTTAGAAAAGAATAATTAAATTAATATTAATTAGTTTTATTGTAAATTATTATAAGTTTTAAGCACATTTTTTTTTTTTTTTTTCATTTCTTATCCATTTTTTTTCTTTTAGATTTAAAAATATTCTTTAAAAAGAAAATTTTTTTTTAGGAAGAAAAAAAAAAGAATTCTTTTGTTTTAAATTTATATTAACAATAAAAAGTTAAATGAACAAGAATTTTAAAATGATAAATGATTATTAATTATACATAATTTATTTCAATGTTTGCCTCAAATGTTTTACATCTTCAGATGTTGTCAAACTAATTAATATTAAATTAATATCTAAAAGTAATGATTTTCTCGGAATTTTCAACTATATACGAGTTTAGAATTAATTAAATTATAATATCGAAGAACCATTAACTTTTTCTTCTTCTATTCAAATAATTTTAAGTATTTCAGACTATTTCATTCTATGTGATTTTGTTTTATAAATGATTAAATCATAGATATTATCAAATACAAATAAGATTTTACATTGATTACTTCAAAATTACTTAAATCATTTCACGTATGACACGTCGCTTTTCTGAGTAATAATTAAGGATTAAGATTAATACCTAAAAAAGAAAATTGAAAAGAAAGAATTGCTAGAAAAGAATTTCTTAAAAATAATTGCACTACCTATTCTTCGTTTTTTTTTCTTTTTTTTTTCGGTATAAATTTTAATCATAGAAAACATAAAATTCACATAGATGGAAAATTTAAAATAAAATTTATTTTAAACAAATTACAAGGACATTTGATGAGAAATTTACATCGGTTTTTTTCTTAGTAAAAATATTTCAGCTGGGAAAATTATCCAAAAATTGTAAAGTTTAATATTCCATAACTGAATGCATTCCATCGTCCTTCGGGTAAATTAACCAAGAAAAAAAAAAAAAAAAAGAAGAAGGAAAGAAAAGTAATGACCTCAGTGACCTTGACGTCTTAAATGAGGATGAAAAGGAATGAGAAATAAATGAATGATTAGAAATATTTATCACATTTAGTCTTAAAGAAAAAATGGATCTGATTAACTGATAAACTGATAAACTGATTAACTGATCTGACTAATTGATTAAATAAATTTTGATAAAAGCATCAAAATTTGATTAATTTAACATATTTGTAAAAAGGATTTTTGCATAAATAACTTAAATTAAATTACATTTTTTCAAACAGTTTCCTTTATTCAAACAAATGGAAAAGTTAATTTTTTTTTTTTTTTTCATTTACTAATAACATTGCATAATTAATTATAACTTTAACTAATAATTGATAAAGAATAACTGATAAAATCGTTAATATTATTAATATAACTGATGCAATTTTTCCATTGTTAATATTTATAAAATTTACTTAATTTTTTTTCTTAATTGAAAATTGCATAAAAAATTTAAAAATAAACTGAAATTTTAATTTTAAAATTACTATCACAGATTATGCGACATTATTTAATTATTATTATTAATTAAACCTGTTCAATTATCCAATTAATTACGAAACAATGATATTTTGATGATAACAATAGTTGTTGCAATATAATTAATTAAGCAATGTGATTTCTAGAAATAATTTTTAATTAAAACAAAAAGCTGATTAATTATGAATTAATGAGTTAATTAATCAATTAGTTAATTATTCCTTTTATTCATCATTTCTCTGATATTAGTTTTAATTTATGATTTTATGCATAATTGCTATTTTTAATTTATCGACGAAAAAAAAAAGGAAAGAATTGCCAAATTAAATTTATTTCTCTTCCTCTCTCCCTTTTTACTTCTATCTCTTATTTTTTCATTCTTTACAAAATGAAAAACGTAAATAAATAAATAAATAAAAGACATAAAATAAAATAATTGCTTGGGGTTTTTTTTTCTAAAAAAGAAAAAAATCAAGTTTTCTATAGTTGGAAATAATTTAAAATTTTCCTTGTATTATAAAAAGAAAAAGAATGTCAGAAAGAAAAAACCTTTGTAATTTCATTTTTTCGCATTTTTTTTTTGTTTGCTTATTTTGCCGTTGGCGCAATTGGCGGAGCGCAATCTTTTTAATTGCTTCAATAGATTAAAATGAATGAAAAAAGAATTTTTTTCATTCATTTTACGCATTGATAATATTTTACAAAATTATTTATTCGTCATACAATCGAAATAAATTTTTTCTCTGAAAATTTATATTTCTGAATTTTAATAAAATAAGGATTTTTTTAAAATTTTAATTTATAGCAATTTGTGCAATTGGTAGATTTGAATGAAATTATTGAGATATTATGCGTTCAAAAAAATTAATGAAATTTAAATTTTGCATTAATATAAGAATAGGATGGATAATCTTAAAGTCTAATATTAGGGTTTCATCTAATTGTCATATTTTAGGAAAAAAAATTTTAATAAATTTTTAAAAAAAATTTTTTTTTTTTTTGCATTATATCAATAGCAAAAAACAATGAATAATGTAAATAATACTAAGAGTAAAATTTCAAACAAAATTTAATTTGAAATTTTTTTAATTTAAAATAATAATCATTGAATTGTAAATGATAATAATTTCAATGCTTTTTGTTTTCCATCTTTTAATGAATTTTTTTTTTTTTTTTGAATATATATTTAATTACAAAAATTTTAGTAACATTTCAGATTGTTCGACTTTCTAAATGTTTTTCTGTTTTATCATATTTTATATTTTACAAAATATTGTGGCGCAAAATGTAAACACTGGTAAGTATTTTTCTTTCCTTTTCAAGTCCAAATAAATCAAAAAAAAAAATTAATAATTAGAAACAGAAATATGAAAATAAAGAATTTTTTGATCAGAATGATATACCATACAAATTTATCATAATATAATACTATCTGATTTTATCAGAATGATTATTTTGTTAATACAACACAATCAATATTAAATATAACTTTTTTTTTTTAGTCTTTCTTTTTAAATCATACAAAATTTTCAACTTTATTTAATGTACCAATCTGAATTATTAATGAACTAATTAAAATAAGATGAATTATTTGAGAATTAATTAATCAAAAATCAAATAATACAACATTTAAAATTAACTTATTTGAAAAAAAAATTTTTTTAATTTTAAATTTTATCATTGTAAATATCATTCATTGATTTTCAGTTGTACGTTTTGATGAAATTGATAAGGACAATGATAAGCGTATAACATTGAATGAAATGAAAAGTTGGCATAAAATGAATCATATAATTAAAAGTGATAAGGAATTAAAAGAAATGATTCAATCAAAAGATCGAAATAATGATGGAATGTTAAATATAGCAGAATTTGTAACATTGTTATTAACTCGGAAATCGATCAATTACAATGAACAAATTTTTAAGGTAAAAACAAAATTATTTAAATTGAAATCTAAAAAAAAAAAAACATATGAATGATTTACTTTTGTCAACGAGTAAGTTATTAAATGAGTTTTCAAAAGTTTATCTTTTATTTTTTGTCTAAAAGTTTTTTAATCTTTTTTCTTTTCTTTTTTTGTTTACTTAACAAATTTTATTATTGTTTTTTAATTGATTTATTTACAAAATTTTTAACTGACTTATTTGAATAGTCTCTTTTTTAAATAATTTAATTAAATTAACAAATTTTGTTTTTATCATAGCGTATTGATAAAAATGGTGATGGAGTGATAACACCAGCTGAAGCTATGCAATCAAAAGATAATGGAATTAATGAAAAAATTATACATGAAGTCTTTCAGGTATGTTTAGCTTAAATAATTTTAGAATTCTAAAATTAAATAATTTAGTAGTAAAAATTATCAATTTCAATTAATTAACAATTTAACAATTTCGATTAATTATTATTGGTAAAAAATAAAACATAAATGTAAACAATTTCATTCTTTTTTTTTTTACTATTTTTATTTTAGTTAGTTGATTTTAACGGTGATAGTAAAATTACCATCGATGAATTTACATCTGCTATGAATGGCAATTTAAATGATCAGCAATATCCTAATAAGCAGGTAAATAAATATTAAAATAAAAGTATAAATTCTCGTTTCATTTTTCTTTAATTCAAGTGGTTTTTAATTAATCCAATTTGAATTTGCATATTATTTGCTGTGTAAATTTAATTTGTTCAATTTCATGAAATGATAATTTAAACGTAACTTTACATGCATGGCTGATAATATTCTAAAAAAAAAAAATTAATTTATGACAACATATAAGTGAATAATATTACTTATTATTTATTTAATAGTGTTATTATTTTTGTTATTGTTTTATTTTATTGCTATGTTATTATTTTGTTATTTAATTATTATTATTATTATTACTATTACTATTATTGTCAACATTAAGTTTACACTCTAAAGATCATTTTTTGAAGTTATCATTTAATTTGAATATTTCAGGCAGGAAAAAATCAGAATTTAGCCTACCAATTGATAACACTTATTGATCAAAATTTAGATCATAAATTATCAGTTCAAGAAGTGTTTAATTTTGCTCGAGCAAATACCAAAGTAAGCAATGGAATGAATTATTTGATCTCTTTCAATTAACAATAACACTAATTAATACTTTAAAAGTTATCATTAATTAAAATTCATAGAACAATGATATAATTTAAATAATTAATTTATTTAATTTCATAATAATATAAGAATAGAAATGAATATTACACTTTTTAGTTTTATATATTTATTTAATGTTACATTTAATAAATAATTTTAGAACTGAGCAAATATATATATATTATATTTCTCATTGTAAATCATTTCAAAATTAAAATTTAGGAAAAAAATTTCTTTCAAAAAGTGAATTTAAAGCATTCAATTATCTATTTATGATAACTGTTAAATATTTTTAGTTCTTTTTTCTTTTTTTTTTTTTTTTTTATTTTTTGCAATTATTACTGATAATTGAAAAATTTTTTTCAGAAGAATAAAACTGAAATAATTGAAGCATTTGGTCATTTGGATTCTAATTACGATGGCTTTTTAACAATTAATGAAATAATAGCTCAGACGGAAAAAATTGTCGCATTAGTACATTTTCAGGAGCCACCGCCAGTTGTTAATAATTAGAAATGAAAATATTTACATTTTGTTTTTATTATTAATCAGTATTTAAATTAAATTCAGATATTAAAAAAAAAAAAAATTAGTTTTTAAAAAATTAAAATTATTTTATACTTTATTTGTTTTTGTAATGATTGCGCCCGCACAGTTACTTCCATCATTTTGTAACAAATGATTTTACATTTAACGATTAATTGAATATTTCAAACATTTAAAATGTCATTCGAAAATTTTTGAACATTTCAAAATATTTCTTTAAATGGTATCAATTTTTCAATAAAGTTTTAATCATTGAAGTATGATTATTGATTAATTATTGAGATGATCTCATAAGTTATTTGTTAGAAATGATGAAAAATAATTCAATAGCAAAAAAAAAAAAATAAAATGAAATTTTTCAAAATTTCCCGACTAAATCCTTTTACAAATTATGTGAAATGTAAAATTTATACATACAATTAATAAAGATTGTACTTAATCAAATAAATAATATTTGATAAATAAAAGTTTATTTCTTGTTCTAATTTTGATAACACTTATTTAGAATTAAGCAATTATAGGAAACTAATGAGTACCATTTAATAAATATAATTTGTTATTCTAGTCTTACCATATATTTATGTGAATTAAAATATGATTCAGAATCTGAATATAATACTTGAAATGACTTATTGATAATGAATAATTGCTAAATTGATTTGATTCCTATCAAAATATACTTCTTCCGTGATTGAATCACTTCCTAATTGATCAATTCAAAATTACTTTTCAAAATTTAAAATTAATTAGTGATGGTAGAAAATAGAAAAAAAAATTATTTATGAAGTATACATCGTTCTTCATCTAATATTGTTGCAAAATATACAATGTATTCATGTTATACCAGGCATTTCAAAATTAATTTTGTTAATTTACTAAAATAATAGTTACAAATTTAATTATAATTATAGGACTATTAATTATGGGATGCTAATTAGCATATTTTAAGCTTACTTTATGTATTGATATTAAATTATATTTACTAATAGTAATCTGATTATCACTGAAAGCTTAAATAATGATTGATTTGATTTCTGGAAAATTTAAATTTACAATTTCTTCTCTGATTTTGAGTCAGATGGTTTCCTTCCACTGTGATTGGTGTTTGATGTCAACAAATGAAATCCTAGGAATGTGAAAAATTTCAAAAATGATTTTAAATTAAATCCTTTTTGTATAATTCAAATAGGTTATCAAGTTGAGTTGAACTATTCAATGCAAACAAATAATATCAAATATTGATTGTTATAATAAATGGATATTAATTGAATATGAATTATATTATTAATATTAATTATTATGAATAATACCAGTGAAAAATTATAATTTATTTATGGTAAATTTAATTAAATATATAAAATTTCCCATTTTTCTTTTCTTCTTTTTCATAATGAATGTTGATTGATCACAATTATCATTTACTATCTAATTTAAAATTTACTCAATCATTTAGCATTCATTGCTTATTTTAAACAATAGATTAAATAGAAAATAATGCAATGAAATCTTAGAATGTAATTTTATAATTTGAATAAATTTTGAAAAGTGTGAATAATTAATTGTACTATTATATCACTTATTACTCAATAAAAACACAGCTTTTTTTTTTTTTTTCAAAAATAATAAATTTAAGGATAAATTCATTGTTCGATTTACAAAATTTTTAAAACATTAATTGTCAAAATCATCATTTAATACTTTCAAGAATTTGATCACACACATACATAAATTCCGGTTATTCTCATGTATCCGAAAAGAATTAATCTCATCAATGCATTCATTATCTCATAATATTTAATCTCAAAATGAATAGAAAATAGAAATTAGAATATTTTAATGATCTGATACATCCGTTTTATCAATTTTCGTATTTCATTAAATAAAAGAAAATGGAATATTACCAATAATTCGGAACAATACCGATAATTTATTTACTACTAACTTTAATGTTTGTTGAATTATTAAATCATAAGAATTAAGTAATTGTAATTATTACTTATTATTTCACCTTCATATCACCATTATCATCAATGATTCAGAAAAAAAATTCGATTAGATTTATTCATAGTTTGATTTTTTTTCACAGTTTCTTTTTCAAATTGTAAGATTATAAATTATTGATAGCCAATAAACTGATTAGATATGTTATCACTACAAGTATAAACAACATTTCTGACACTTTCTATGAATATTATCAGCGATATTACAATGATCGATCATACTGATGGTAAAATAAAATGATATTACATATAGCAGCGAATAACATTGGTCCCCGACGTGTCTCACGTGATTCCACGTCATAATCACGCTTACAACAGAGTCTCGCATTGAAAACAATGCTAAGCTACTCTTGTTCACTGTCCTCTCTAACTGTTTCCCAATGTCTCTTATCTAACACTCCTCTTCTTTACTCATATTCACTATCTTATCTAACTGTCCTCTTCCCTCTCCTCTTTATATATTATATCGTAAACTCTTATCAGTCTCTCTCTTCTCCTTTAACAAATTATTTTTCTTTTTTTACTTTTCATCAAATAATCTCATCTCGTGTTATTTGATAAAATTTCATTTATCACTTCAAATATCATGCCCTCTATCAGTCTCATCAAGTGGTACTCTCTCTCAAACAACTATGCTACTTTCACCTGTTTTAACTATTCTACTCTTCCCAATCTCTACTATTTCTCATCTGCAACATGACTGAATAATGAACAGTGATCAAATTATGATAATTATTAGTGAAAAAGTTTAAAATTGAAATCGGTAAGTTGAATTTACTCTTTAATTTTATGATAATTTTATTTTTTACTTCTCTCTCTCTTCTTGCTCTTTTGTTCTCTCCTTTTCTATCTCTATTGCTCTTTCTTCCTATCTCGTGTATATCATTCATTTTCATCTCTTTCCCTTCTTTTCTCTCTCTCTCTCCCTCTCCCTCCCTCTCTCTCTCTTAAATCTCTTTTCATCATTTATCACAGCAATATGTTATACAATAAATAAATGTGGCACAAATATTTTAACAATTGATAATATTCCTGAGCGAATAGTTTGCAATAGAAATGGATTATTTCAGTATTATTTGATTATCATTTATCATTTGTATCTATCAGTTATTCATTAGAAATCATTTAGCGATATTTATTAATTTAACTTTATTAAAAGTATATTATGTGGCTTATACTATCACCACTACTACTACTCATACTGAAATTCACCGCTGTATTCACATGGACAACAGAAGAACTTTTCATCTACGATCTGGTAGAAGAAGTGGGCGAAAATTTTTACGATCTTTATGGAATTCCAAAGGTAAAATTTTTTTTTTAATCTTTTTTAGTGCAGCTATTATATTTAACTCATCATTTTTATCTCGTAATTTTTTATCTTAAAAAAAAAATTACTTAAAAACTGATTTTTTTTTTTTTTTTTTTGCTTAAAAATCACTTGAAAATTTACTTTTAGGAATTTTAAGATTTAAAACTTTGAGATTTTTAAATAATTTGATGTATAACATATAATGATGGAATAGTGAAAAACTTATTTTTATCTTACTAGTGGCGAGTCAGCTAATAAAATTAAAATTTAATTAGAAGTGGAACTTGTGATCAGTAAACGGATGATGAAGATGAGTGGAGCTGGAATATTATAGCGGTTAATTCAATATATTATTAGCTGATACATTTTTATCTTCATTTATGGAGAATCAAACATAACTACATAACTGATAGAATTGATAATTTTAACATTCAGTTTTATCTTTAATAACCCCCTGTTAAGCTGTTGAAGTATTTGCTTATTTTATGTTCTTTGTTGCATCCTCTTTTAGATGATAATTTTTTAGGATGCCGAAATTTCGAGTATCAAAAAAGCATATCGTCGATTGAGCATGGAGTGGCATCCGGATCGTAATTCAGATGCAAAAGCAGAAGAGCAATTCAGAAAGGTTTCATTTTTATCTTACTTTTCATTTTTTATTTTATCTTATCTCATTCTTCATTCATTCATTTTTTCACTTATAGAACTGAAAATATTATATTCTGTATGGATGGCAAATGCTTTCCTTGCAGATCGCTGCCATTTATGAAGTTTTAAAATCGCATGATTTAAGAGAAGAATACGACCGTATTTTAGAAAATGGTCTTCCAGATTGGAGACAACCTGTCTTTTACTATCGGTTGGTTTTTTTACATTGTCAGATTTTTTTTTCTATATCTGCCAAAAAGCTATTTTAAAGACGCAGTGTGATGGTGAATTTAATTTTGAATTAATGTAAAAGAGTAGTGCATCTTTTTTTTCTATAACTTTTCCCGAAGGGTTGTTTTTTTAGCCTCAATTTTTTGGAACTTTCCTTAGTCAAGTTCCAAGAATTGTGGTAATATTGAAATGGTCACTAATCATTCAATTGGGTAATACTTCTGGTTTTTTTAGGCGTGCACGAAAATTATCCTGGTTTGAAGGAGTGGTCATACTTGTAATAATTTCTTCGATTGGTCATTATTTTATGCTGTGGGGTGCTTATATAGATAAGTATTTGACATTGGTTCGTTCTAAATTCCAATTTGAAATTCAAATATCAACTTTTTAAATGGATAATTTTTTATTTTACATTCAAATTGTTAAACACTACTGAGAATCCTAATATAGATTATCCTGTGGATGTGAAAAAAAAAAGTTAACAGAAGTAGTGAATCAATCATTTCTTGTTCAATGCTTTGTTGCACAATGATTCGGCAAATCCAATTTTTCATAGAGAAATTTTTAGCGAGAAGTTTTTGACATTTTTTCAATTAGAACTAATCATTATTTGCTATGTAATCATATATTTGTCTCTAAAGATATAGTGAATTAATATGCTTTATTAATCACTGATATGCTATTTTGCAGTCTTCAACTCGTAGCAAATTACGTAAAAAGGAAATTCGACAACTGAAAAAAATTGGAAGTGATGCTGAGACTTTATATGAAGCAGAAATAGCTGAAATGTTGTCTGATGTTTGTCCATCCTGGCGAAATTCTTTACCTGCATTAATCGTATCATTTCTTTATAATGTTGCTGTTTCACTACCAGATTTTGTTCGTACTCACATCACAGTGCGTCAATCTGAAGTTGAAAAATCTGAGATAAGCCACATTTCTTTTTTCCTGGTTTAATTCTCACTGTAACTTAAGCGTCTTCTTTGGAGCAAAAGCTTTAAAAAAAAATTTATCATTATCAACTAACAGGTAGTCAACATTAGGGAAAATTGATTTTCCTGTCCAGTAATTTTGAATTCGATTAACTATATTAGCTTTTTTAGACTGACAAAAAGAATAAGGGTGACGAGGTCTCTTCACGTCGTTATGTTGCAAAACGACAACCTGTTTATGAATATGCTGTAGCTTCAGACATAAAACCAGTCCTTTCCTGTGTTTTTAGTGAAGATTCTGCCAGGGAATCTGATTCGCAAAATAATGGTAATTTTTGAATTGATTTTAGCTTATGTGCTTTAAAATTCTCTAATGAAGATTATTGATATAACATAGAAATCATCTTTTTATTTTCAAATTCCTATTAAATATTTTAACACATTTATAGCTAGTTAATCATTTCAATACTGGCTTGGTAATATATATTAAGACATTAAAAAATCTTTTTATACACACAAAGTAGTTGCTATGCTACGTCTTAAAAACCAATATATAACTAAAAGCTAATATATGAATTGAAGCCATTTTTATTGATAAAAATTTTGTTGCGCACATTGATTTTCAGATGTTTTTCACAGTAGTTCATGGTCTAGTAAAGAATTGGCACTGCTTGTTAGATTGAGCACCGAGAAATATCCTGCTGGCACACCTAACAGGTTATGGTAGATTTACTCTTGATTGATTCAATGAAATTAAGATGTACAGTCTTTTGATATTTATGCTGAACTGTTTTTTCAGATGGGAATTATTGGCAAAAGCACTGGATCGATCACCGCAAAGTATAACTTTTATGGTTGGTAAATTAAAGCAGATGAAGAGGGTTCGTCACCAGATTTAATGTTTAAATATTTCGAAGTCTGAAATTTTTGTAATTATTTTTAATGTCCTTTTGTTTTTTTTTTTTTTGCGATAGGAATAGATTTTGGTACCAAAAAGTTAGTTCAGAAGCTGTTCAAACACCTCAACTATTTGTTTGTAAAATTCTTGCTCTAGTTTTTTCATCAGTCTTTCACTTCAATCATTTGTATTTATTTTGTTCTCTTATACTAGTTGTAATGTTACTTTTTTACAGGACGAGTATGCGGATTTATTACGTAATTCGCAGTCAAGTGCTACCGTGCAGAATGTTACAGAAATAACGTCGCAGAATCAAGCAAACCAAGTTTTTGAGGAGACATCAAATAATTGGGATACTTCAAGCGAAAATAGCGACAGTGAAGAAGAGAATATCTCATGGTCAGATTATGATCAGAGGTTGTTTGAAACAGCACTTCAGGAATTTCCAAAAGGCACTGTTGGTCGGTAAGATTTTCTTTTTTTTGGTTTGGCACACTTATTAATAATTAACAATATTTACAGATAATTAAGTATTTATTTGTATTCATAGTATTTATATTATAGGTATTTATAGATAATTATAGATAGAGAAAAAAATTAAAGAAACACTTTTGTTAGTATACATCCAATTTTAGTTCTGTTATAAATATTTGATCTCTCTGACATTACCATCATCATTTTATCAGAATTATCAGATTGCAGATTAATTTTATTGCAGTGCTTATCGTACTAGTAACATGAACATCTAAGTGCGTAAGTCTCCTGAGGAATTTTTTAAATCCATTCATTTTGAACTGATGCTAGTCATACTGCGATGGTTCTGTTATTCTTTTTACATGATTTCAAATGTATTGCTTTATTTGCTTTCTGCAAGTAAATTCTCTTGTTTTGTTCTGTCTTCTCTTGTCTTTTTTATCTGTCAATTATTAATTGATAATCAACTTGAAGTGGATTTTTTGGTGACTGTTTTTAGATGGGACAAAATTGCTAATTGTGTATCGAGTAAAACTAAGCAGCAGTGTATCGAACGATTCAAATATTTGTCGGAAATGGTTCGACAAAGGAAATCACATCACAAAAATAAGAAGTAGATTTTTCGAATTGCTGTGGTATTCTTTAGTTTTAGCTTATAGTTAATCATAAAAATACAGAATTAACCATAGCAATATGGTTCCAAATATCATTTTCCCTCTCAGAATTTTGTTCAAACAAAAGTTTCAATTATTTGTTTTTATTAAATCAGTCGTTAAATGCAAGAAAGTAAGGAAATAAATGTGAAGACAATAATTATGCTTCTCATTGTTTTGGATTTTTCCATAATTTTATTCTCAATAATTTTGAATCTTGTAGTTCTATTATTTTTTATTCTATAATTATTCCGAATTTTTAAATAGAATTATGCACTTCAAATTTAAGTTTACATTTATACGTTTTAATAATTGCAGGAAGTAGTATATGGACATATTTATACAATGATAAGCGATGATTGCTCTTTCTTGTTAATGTAGAGTATGTGTTTTCAAAATTGTAACTTAGAGATCATATTTATTTCATTCACTCTTCATTTAGCATCACAAATGAATTATTTTAATATGTCAGTCGTATGTCTGTCAACCGAGTACAGGATATGTCAAGCGGAGCTATAGTAGATATAATCAGTATTATCTGTACTTTACTTGTTAAGAAGAAAGATAGTTGTGTTATTTTAGAAACATAATGAAATTTATTTAAAATATTGTAATTGAATTACATCTATCTTTAATAAACTTTTTTTCTTTTTTTTAATTCTATAATATTTGTTTTTCTATAAGAACAATTTTAAATTTACATTAGAAAAATCTAATTGTAAATTGTAAGATTGTGGGCTTCCAGAAATGTTTCAAAGTTTCGCTTGTAATATTTCTTTAAATATCTTTCATATCATGAAAATAATGTTTTAAGGTAAAATTCCCATTTTTCACTTTCTACGATGGCTAACTATATATTTCAATGGTTTTTCACTGTTTCATTTTTCTCCTATGCTATTATTCTGTAAATTAATTAAATTATCCTTTAATGAAGTATTTGTTACATAATTTATTACTTTCACTAAATAAGTTGGGACAAATAAAATTTACGAAATTATACGAAAATTATATTAATAGGGTTATGAAATTTATTTTAGTCCGATCAATTAATATGAATTAAAAATATAAATAAAATTCAGAAGGTTAAATTTTTTATCAAGTTTTTTCTTTCAAACATTGATTGATTCTTTGATCTCTTTAATTATTGGTTAACTGGCGTCGTTCCCTTGGCCGTGTCTATACTAAAACGGATCATATTTTTATATTTGTGAAAGTTAAATACTTACAAATATTTTCAATATTAAAAAAGCAAACTTGCTGGAAACGGAAACAGTTTCATTTTGATCGTTGATAAGCAAATTTATCGTAAATGGTAGCTTTAGATCATCAAACTATAAAATGTGAAAATTTGATTATGATGAAAATAACAATGTTGTTCATTATTTTAAATCTTTTCAAATTTTGAAATTTCTCAATGTTTAGAAAAGATATTCTAACTCTCTCGATTAATCTTTCAATAGCTTAAACAAAAGTTTGAAATGATCAAATAACAAAAAACAAAAAAACTATACTGTTAAAGTAATAAAAGCTTAAAGTGGCCATTTTCATGCTTAATGCTAATTGAATTTTTGAGGGATATAAAATTGACTGACTAATTTACCATATCAGCTTTAAATTCTTTATATTCGCTTTCTGGTAATGTCAACTTTTCCTGTTTCACTTCTCGTAACTTTTGCTTAATATCGTCTAAAATAAGATTGGAATTGTGTAAATTGAGTTCACACAACCGCATGGATTTGTTGATTAAAACCATAATAAAATTTAAAATGTTAATTGTCATTTTTTATTGTAGCGAAATGCATTTGGATACATTTGTAGTTAATGAGAAAAATGCAAAATCGGTTGAAAAAAAAAAATTGTTAAGTTTCAAAAAAATTTGAAAGCAAATGAATTAAATAGCCCTAAATAATATCATTTGAAATAACTTCTGTCACATCATATTTATGTCAACACAATTTTATCGTTACTTTGTTTTTGTTTTTGTTTTTTTTTTTAAATGTATTTAATATAAAAAGAATTGAACAAAAAGCAATGATAAAAGAGAAAAAAAAAAGACTAGTCTGAATTACATAGATCAATTTAGCTAATTTCACACAAATTTTTAAGGTATAGAAAAAAATGATGATAATGATAATAGAGAAATATTATTTCAATAAATAATACAAATTGAATTAATGTTGAAAATGATGATAATGATAATAGAGAAATATTATTTCAATAAATAATACAAATTGAATTAATGTTGAAAATGATGATAATGATAATAGAGAAATATTATTTCAATAAATAATACAAATTGAATTAATGTTGAAAATGATGATAATGATAATAGAGAAATATTATTTCAATAAATAATACAAATTGAATTAATGTTGAAAATGATGATAATGATAATAGAGAAATATTATTTCAATAAATAATACAAATTGAATTAATGTTGAAAATGATGATAATGATAATAGAGAAATATTATTTCAATAAATAATACAAATTGAATTAATGTTGAAAATGATGATAATGATAATAGAGAAATATTATTTCAATAAATAATACAAATTGAATTAATGTTGAAAATGATGATAATGATAATAGAGAAATATTATTTCAATAAATAATACAAATTGAATTAATGTTGAAAATGATGATAATGATAATAGAGAAATATTATTTCAATAAATAATACAAATTGAATTATATCAATCAAATTGAATCATATTAAATTGTATAAAAAGTACCAAATACAATTTCAGAATTGCATATAATTTCATAAATTATAACATTTTAATTGTTATGCTACTTTCAGAAAAAAATTTAAATTTTTTTAATTCAAATGAATTGGGAAATTTAATTTTTGAAAATTTTCATTTTTTACTATTAAAAGAAATTATTTCAGATTAACAATCTTTTTTTTTTTTTTTCATTGATGCACAAAAAAAGCATTTTCCACATATTTTTTTTTTTTTTTTTAAATTTCTCTACCGAAATTAATAGGAGAAAAAAAAATGAGAGATAAAGAAGAAGAAAAAGTAATTCCTATTTAATAATAATAATTGTTCTTTGGTAGTATTAAATACTTAAATGATTAAAATATAATTCAAGAATGAAATGATAAAATGTTAATTTTATAAGGTATGAAACTTTTTTTCTATGCAGAAAGTAAATTTAAAAGAATAGCTCATGAATTTGATTTAAATTTAAATTGGATTGAAACATTTTTTTTTTCCTTCGATTACAATTTTGCTATCACTTAAATAATCTGAATAATATTTGAAAAAAAAAAAAAAAAAAAAACTTTTTTTTTTACTGCAAAAAGACATTTGCTTAATAATTAGAGAAATGGCAGTAAAATATGAAAATATTGCATATTTATTAATTAAGGCACATAAATATACAATCAAATGAATTAATATCGCTTTAATCTTTTTTGGAAATAATTTTTAAGAATACAAAAAAAGAATGAAAAATTTTTTTAATTTTTTTTTCAGTAATATTAAAATTAAACAGTGATTAATTTCATTAATATTTTTAAAACTTTTTATTTCGACAAGCAAAAATTTTTAATTTATTAATTTTTTCTTTTTTTTTTTTTTCTGAAATTTCCATAACAGATTGTGGCAAGAATTCGTCAATTGAGCAATAAAAAAAAAAAGACACTGCACAATTATTGCAAAGAAGTTATACTTACTTACTTACTTACTCGCTTACTTACTTACTTATACTCGAATACCGTGTCGCTCCTCTGAGTACATATGAGGATGAGCAAATCGTACTTGACTATCTGCATACATATCCATATTTTTGGCATTTGTATTGTAAGTAGCTTGTTCAGTTGGTGGTCTATGACGTTTAAAGAAGCCACACTAAAATAAAATTTTAATTGAATTTTAAATTTTGTTTGAACTTGAATAAAAGATGAATTAAATTTCTTGTTATTTTAAAAATTATTATTTTTTTTAACTTATTGATTAAATTTTTTATTTTAATAATATAATGATAAAATATTAATTTATACTTATTCATTCTAAAGCATTTCGATATTGAAACATTAATTTTAGTTGAATGATAAAATATTTACAAAATATATCAAATTGTTAAAAAAAAAAAAAAGCTTTATAGAATTAAAGAATTTGTTAGAATGTGAAATTAGTAATGAATAATTAGTAATACTTTTTTAACATGTGATAAATCTATTCAAAACTTTTAATTTTAAAATTCTTTTTTTGAAATAAATGAATATATAATAAATAAATGAATTTATTACGTATAATTTAGTCTTTTTTAAATTTTTTTCATTTTTTTTTTTTTTTTTATTTTAAAATTTTACTATTAAAAAAATTACCCTCCAAAGACATAGGATAAGAAGCGCCAAAATGACTAATCCAATAAGAATTGCAATTAAATATAACCACCATGGTACACCACGTTTCGCTTGTTCTGGATCTGTTGGATTTACATCTGTTGTTACCTGAAAAATAATTTTTTTTTTTTTTAAAAATCATTTAAAAGTCATTTCAATTCTCTTTTTACAAATATATAATAATTATATGTTTAATATTAATTAGTAATATAATTTTCCTCTTTTTTCCATTTTTTTGAAATTTATTTCAAGCATACTTTTTTATCCATAAAATATAATAACTTTATAAAAAAAAAAAAAAAAAAAGAAAAAAGAAAAAAGAAAAAAATCCATTTATTTTTAGAAAATACAAAAGAAAAATATACCGCAACAAGTTGCGCTGGTGGATTATAACGTGGCGCACTTGGTAATGCTGATATTTTAGCTATACCAATTGATGAGATATCTGCTTCATAAATATTATTATCAATTAAAGTATTTACAGCTAAACGAGCATAAATTTCCACCAGGACAAATTCATCCTCATTAAGTCGACGAATATCACATTCAATATGTGTGCAATTATCCATATTACAACCCTAAAAAAAAATAAATATATTATTTTTAATATGAAAATATGAATTGAGTTAATTTTAATTTGAAAACTAGAATATATAAGTTTTTTTTAAGCAAAATTTATAAATTAATAAAAAATCAATTTTAAAAGTATGAAAAAGATAACTTTTTAATCCTTACTACAATGATTAATTCATTCATTTTTTCAAATTTGTTCATTTTTTTTTTCTATTGATCTAACTGATAGTTACTGTGAATTATTATTTAATTATTATCTAACTTAAAATTTATATTAAAAATCAAAAAATTCATTCATATCAAAAAAAAAAGAACTTAAAATGTTAGCTCGATTGAGAGGTCCTCTATATTCGACAGCTTTTCCAGCTGCTTTAGCCATTTTAACTGCTTGTTTCATATTATCTTTAGCTTGAACAACTCGAATTCTACGTTGATCAGTTAGCATTTGTTGATGCGATCGTTTGATCTTACGTCTACGAGTCATATGTTCGGATCGAATTTGCATTCGACGTCGTCTCAACTTATAATCATCATACATTTCTCGTACGTGTTCCTCACGTTCATAATGCTGCATAGGTATTTGATCATCATAAATGATTGCTGATGGTGTCGGAATGTGTTCATTTGAGATCTAAAAAACATTCATTCATCTAATTTTATACAAAAAACAAGACAACTAAATTCCTCTGTGACGGCCTAAATTTCTTACGTGATGTTACACGTAAGTGAATTTTATGAAAAGTTTTCCCTGAATCAAAATTATTTAGCACTTTTGATAGCAAACTGGAATGATTAAGAATTCGTTTAATTAAGAAAAACAAAACAAAAAAAAACAAAATTTTGAAGTCTATTCTTCTAAAGGCTTTAAATATTTTGAAAAACTGAAAAAATTATCACCGTTAAACTATCCGGATTGATATTTTGCGCTTGTTTCACGCGACATTTTACTTTGTCAGCATCATTCACTTGTGGCTCATCAATCAAATACAATAAATGTTTTCCATTTTCAGCAAAACTTGGCCAAATAATATCTAATGAAGCACCACTAATCGCACTTGGACCGCGATTTATAACCTAAATTTTCAAAAAATCCTAAAAATTGCATAAATTTTTGATAATGAAAAAAAAAAAAAAAACAAAAACAAAAACAAAATCTTCATAGATATTTTGAATAAATTATATTTGCTAATTTATTTTGAAAGCAAAAATGTAAGCAAATTTTAAGTTTACTATCTACCTGATATAAGTGACTGACAACAGGACCAATTTCGGAATCAAAAATTGGATCACTTGGAGTTCGATTCCGTATTGAGTAATCCAGTTGTTCTGGTGTTGATCGGCCAACCAATGAAAGTTGAGCTTTAATTTCAACTGGAACTCGTACAGTTAATTCATTATCATGATCACGACCGTAAGCTTCTTCACTGCTACTAAAATTAATCACATAATTAGCTAATAATCTTCACTAACAAAGAAAAAAAAAACAATCTTAGCTAATTGCTATAGTCTTAATTAACAAAAAAGAAAAAAAAAAGTGATCGATGATCCTTTATGATCGATTAATCAAAGCTTTCACAAATAATTTAATAATTATTACTCAATAATTTGAAATTATATTGTCAGAGAATATCATATTAGAATCATTGCATTGCTGCTTAATTTGTTATCATCAATATTTCATTTAATTTAGAATGTAACACTTGTCGTAATTTTTTTTCCAAATATTCCAAATAATTTCATAAAAAATTTCTTTCCAAATAAATTCCAAATATTTTCATTGTTCATTAAATTGATCGTTTAAAATTTACATTCAGTTTTAAATTTTTATTAATGTTATATCATCAAATACAATACAATGAATGAACAAAGAAATTTAATTTCATTACCTATTAACAGACATTCTAATTTCGATTGCTTCATCTGTTGCATCCACTTTAGTACCGGTTAAACGGAATCCGAATTTTGCTTCACTATTACCGGCTAATGGATTACCAATATCACATACAAATATGTATTCCTCATCTTTTCCAGTTTTAGATTGCGGTGAGCAACTAATTGGTCGCTAAAAATTAAAATTAAATTAGAATTAGCTATATGAAATTTTTTTAATTTAAGAATTGTAATATAATTTCATCAAATTTTATAATATTGTCTGATTTATAAGATTTGGATATTTTTTTAAAATTTTTTAATAATTAATTATTCAAATGATGTCGGACGATTATACAATTTGATCTATATGAATTGGATTTTTAGCTCTATCTCATAGTGATCTTTAGCATTATTCACTAATCTTTTTGGTAGTAATAATTGATATTTAAAATCTTTTCATCCATCCGACCATCTTTATCAAATCTCGATCAAATAATCACTTATCAAATACCTGTGTGGCATAATTCTCAACACCACCGTATTCGAAGCCCGGTGGTATTGTGATAAAAAATTGCGATTCATGCGAATCCTCGCCATGATTTGCGACCGTTACATTAACAATTAGCGATTGATCAGCTGCACCAATAGTGAATTTCTTCTTGCTTCTTAATTTATTAACAATTAATCAACAAATTGATAAAGCATATATTAGCTGCAAAATTTTAGAAATTTCAAATTAATTGCAAATTTTTTAAATTCATTAAACAGAGAGTTATAGTGTAAAGTCAAATATTGATTGCTTATCAATCATTACATTTCTATTGATTATCACTTTGATAAATGCTCTATCAGTGATCAAAAAAAAAAAGTATGAGAAGGAGAAAATTTTTTAAATCAATAAAATATATTCTAGCAATTAAAGTCATTAGCAACAACAAAAAAAAAGAAAAAAAGAAAAATGAATTATAAGCGAAATGTTTTTACTGAAATATACTACAAAGATAACTTACGAAGTAGCATGTACTTGTAAATCCGGAATGCATTTCTCATCTGGACCACAATTTTTATCTATCGGAAGCTAAAAATGATCACATTGAAAGTTTGAGCGTTTTATTTAATTTCAATAAAAAAAAAAGAAAGAAACATGTAAGCTTCATTATAATTATTTTTTAACTTGATATTTGACCTCAACTTCAAACGACAATGGTACGGTGGTATCTAGTGCCGGTTCAAGATGACCTGATGTTGACAGACCGGATGTACGCTCCTCATAACTGTAATTTGCCATGATATGTATCGGATTTAATTTATCACGTATTGTATCCTGTAATGGAACATTTTAAAAAAAAAAAAAAACGAATAATAAATTTGACTTTTTTCCACTTTTTTTTTTTTTTCACTAACATTTCTATTTCGGAATGGAATCTATCAATTGAAATGTATTTAAGTTTAAAATTATAAATTTTATAAAGAATTTTTAAATTTAAAAAATAAACTTACAGAAACATAAATATCATATGTTTCACAGTATTCATGTCCTTTCCGTAAATGCATTATTTGTTCGATTATATCCGGTTGATCACGTGATGCTGCTTTCTTGTGAACTTTTGTATTCCGTTTATTATTCTGAATTCAGAATAGCATTAACGATATTTAATATCGTCAAAATGTTGTTCAAATTTTCAAAATTTGAAAGAAAAATATGGTTAAAAAAAATTTTTTTTCGAAAAAAAATGATATTTTCCAGAAAAAAAATCAATAAATTTGATAACTTTGTTAATTTAACTTTAGTTTGAGTAATTCCTAAAAATCTAATATAATAAATGTGAAAATTGACGATAATGAAAAAAAAAAAATAATAATAAACAAAAATAAAAGTAATGTTTGATATAAAACCAATTAAATTTTTTTTTACAATTTTAATTTGATAATAAACACAAAAAATATTTCTTCCTGTTGCATTTTTACAATTAAAATAATTGAAATCTCAATTTATGATGATATTTTCTTAAAAAATCGGAAAATTTTTTTTATTTTTTAACATTTTATATTTTTGTTATTACTCTTTTTTTTGTCTTTTACTACATTGTTTAGAATCTTATTTGGTCATCTAATGGTCACTGTCCAATTTCTATTAACAAATAACAAAATTGTTTACCTCTGGCAATTGTTTACTTATCATTAATAAAACTTACCAAATCTCTTCGTCTGAAAAATGCTCGTGGTGTAATCGTTTTCTTAGAATCAAGCTGAAACAGAAGTTTCAGATCAATATCTGGTGGTGATTGACCTTTACCCTCGTATCGCATACAAAGTTTCATATGCTCACTGAAATTATGTCAATAATGGAATGTAAGTAAACATTGAATAATAATGTCCTGTATTTTAGAAAGATTAATTTAAAATTTAAAACAACATCAAAATTTGCATATTAAAAAAAGTAAACATTAAAATATAATAAATAATTTCCAAAATTTTTGTCTAAAAATCAAAAAAAAAAAGAAGAAAAAAGAAAAGAAAAAGGAGAAAGAAAGAAAGAAATTCTTGAAAGTTTTAGTTAATTATAAAAATAAAAAATAAAATTTAATATAGTAATTAAATATTTTAATATATCAAATAGTATGCACCATGCCATCATTCCAAATTCAGTTGAGCAAGTTTTATCTTCGAGATTAATTGAATTCTTAGCTGTAGTTAATGAACCTGTTACTGTTACCACTGGTTTCGTTTTAAAAACCACTGCATGAGCACTTTGATAAGCACCAACCGCAATATCTAAACGAAATTTATATCAATTAATTAATTAATTAAATAATTAATTAATTAAGTAACTGTTACCTAAGTTCCATTCAAACAACAATTAGCATTATTTAATTGAATAAATAATTGAATATTTTCTAACCTGGATATTGATTTTTATCGATATCTTTACCACCAGCAAGCGAAAATCCAAATGCTTTTAAATCAGCGTTTATTTTTCGTGCTTCAATTTTTTGCGTTGGTTCTTTACGTACGCCATTTTTAGCTCCATGATACACGTACACGGCACCTCGACGATCATCACCATCATATGGCGCACCAACGATAAAATCTGTGTGAAAACAAAATGTTATTAACTTAAAAATAATGTGCATTGAAGGAACGAGCAGTAATGTTATAAAAAAGTTTGATAGAAATAAACAATATTTACGAATAAACAAAAACAAAAAAATAAGTAAATAAATAAAGCAGAACAATAGAAAAGAAATAAAAAATAAAAATCCTTAAATATTCAAAAGAAGAAAAAATGAGCTTAAAATTAGACAATAATTCATTCTTTTAACTAAAACATTTCATTCAAATTTAATCTTTCCTTTAATTATATTAAATTTAAATTTTAAAATTACCATTGTAACCATCCTGATTTAAATCACCAGCTGCTGCAATCGAATAACCAAATCGTGACCATTCGGTATGTCCCAGTAATGATTCCCATTTTGGAAAATCATGCTGCAAATAATTAATTTCAATTAATTTAAAAATGAAAAATGAATCAAATATTGGAAAAGTATTTGAGCAAATATCTTTTTTTGATAATTTTTATTCCAACAATAGCATACATTAAATGAAATAACAAATTCTTGAAGTAAACATTCATATAAAAATTTATTGAACAAAAAATTAATATTTTTGATAAAAAAAATTTTTTCATCAAAAATATGAAATTTTTAAATGTATAATTAAACATTTCCATATGAATTCAACTTATAAATTTCAAAAATTCAAAATTTAATTTTAAAAAAAAGAAAATTTGAAAATAAGGCTTACATCTGCTCCTTGAAAGAAAACCATAACTTTGCCAATATCGTAACGAGGCTTATGTTCTTGAGTTTTTACATCCATTACTGTTTTGTAATCAGTATAAAATGGTGAACCAACGATAATATCGTCGTAGCTGAAGAAAAAAACATAAATTTTATTTTTTTATTTTCTTCATTTATTTTTAATTAATTAAATAAATCAATCAATCAATAATTAATAATTCAATTCCTCTTAAATAATTTCTTATATTAACTTTGGCTTTAAAAAAAAAAAAAAAAACAAAATTAATGATAATATTTACTAACCCATCATTATTTAAATCGGTAACTGCTACAGCAGCACCAAAGAATTGACCTTTTTGACCGTTTTTATCAGTTAAATTTTTCAATGATATTAATTTATGATTGAAAATATAAACCTGAAAAAATTAATTCCGAAATTTAAATAAATTAAAAAAGAAAATGTAAGAAAGAAAAATTGCAAAAACACGAGAAAAATTCAACTGAAAAATTTTTTTAAATTGAATATAAAACCGAAAAAAAAAAAAAAAAAAAACAAAGCATCCTTTTATGCTTTTTTAAAATTTCAACTGGTATTTATAAATAGTTATTATTTCAGCAAATGAATTTTTTTTTTTAAAAAAAAAAAAAAGATAAAAGAAAAAGGTTTAAAAGTATCACTTATAAAATATGATAACTTACAGCACCAACAAGTTCATTACCACGTGGTACACCAGCAACCGCATCTTCTAAACCATCACCATCAAAATCACCTGCTGCTAATGAATAGCCTAGAATTTAGAATTTATCATATGCGTAAATTAGTAAGCATTTAATGAATTAATTTATTCCTCAATTTTTCATTAAATTTAGCTTTGAAAATAAAATTGATTTAAATTTATATCAAAAAAAATTTGACAAAATTCTAAATTTACATAACAAAATTTGGTAAAAAATAATGATTACAATTAAAATTATAAATGAAATATAGCAAAATGATTAGTTAATTAGTTAGTTAGAGATAAAAAAAAAAAAAAAAAAAATTAGAAAAGTTTAATTTATAGATTATTTTTTGTTTGTTTAACTTACCAAGATTATAATTATCATGATGTGCTGGACCATCATGTGTATTTGGTCGATCTAATTGATTGCGAATATTTTGAGCAAAAATTGTACCTTGCCAATAATATGCACCAGGTGCACCAATATACAACCTTTCATTACCATCATCTGGGATTGTTGCACTAAAACCGCACATTCCATATCCAAAACGATGATGGCCATGACGAGCAGCTAAAAATTTTAAATTAATTTAGAAATTGATTGAAAATATAAATTATGATTTTAAAAATTTTTAAATTAATGAAAATATGAAAATTTATAAAATCGTACGTTCTTGACGACATGAAGCAAATTCTTCAATAGTTTCAAAACCATTTGTTGCATAAAAACATGTTCCAACAGGTTCAATAACTTCAAATTTTGAAAAGAAATATTTGTAATGAGGTGCACAAACCTGTAAAATAAATATGATAATTTGTTATGAATTGATAATTTTTTTTTTTTTGAGAAAGAAGATGAATTATTATTATTAATTTAATAAGTTATAAAAATAAGATAATGATAAAATTTAAATTTAAAATTAACCACGACAGAATTGCCTTTCTTGGATACTCTAACAGTAGCACCAAGCATTTGACCTGATTTCTCTTCAATTTGTAACAAATGAGATCCATTAAGTCGTTTCTCGTTACCTGCAATAATTTATATAAATTTTAATCGAAAATATTCAACCAAAAAAAGTTTTAATTAATTAAATTAATTAATTAATTAGTTGACTAAGATTACGTCTAGTAGGAAGATTCATAGTATATTAATTTAGCTATGGTTACCATTTTGCAAACTGATCGAAGAGGAATTTATTAATTAATTACCTTATCAATTAATTAAATTTATAAGTCATTAATTAACTAACTAAGGGACAAAATTTCAAAATGACCGAAATTTGCTATAATTTATTAATTGACTAAAGCTATAAATTCATTGGTAAGCGCATTTGAGCATACTTTTGTGCATTATAATTAGAAACGATTTAACTTTTTTTTTCTTTCAAATTTTAAAGATTTCACGAAGAATTCGTTTTTTTCTTTTTTGAAAAAAAAAAAAAAAGAAAAGAAAACATTCCTTGCGATTGTAGATTTTTTTTTTTTTTAAATTTAAATTCATCAATTTATTAAATTTATTGTTTTTGATACGAAATCCATTGGTTTATTTTTTTTTTTCACTAAATATTGACCACCTGTGATTCTATTTATCAATTAATTTTTGCTAAACATTTTTACTGCATTTTATTCTTTGTTAAAAATTTTAAGAATTTTTAGTGTTTATCATTTTAAATGTTAGAAATTTTAAATTTAATCGTCTCTTGAAACTTTTTTTTTCGTTTTTTTTTAAAAAATTTGTTTTTAATTTAAATTTAATTGATTGTGATATGATATGACGATTAAATTTATTTGTGATATGATAAGATATGCTTCAAGTAATGGCGAAGAAAATGTTATAAGTTTATTATGAAAGTTCAAATAATCGATATTTTAGATCAAATTATTCATATCATATCGATAGTTTAGGTCAAATTATTCATATCATATTGATAGTTTAGATCAAATTATTCATATCATATTGATAGTTTAGGTCAAATTATTCATATCATATCGATAGTTTAGGTCAAATTATTCATATCATATTGATTGTTTAGATCAAATTATTCATATCATATTGATAGTTTAGATCAAACTATTCATATCATATTGATAGTTTAGATCAAACTATTCATATCATATTGATAGTTTAGATCAAATTATTCATATCATATTGATAGTTTAGATCAAACTATTCATATCATATTGATAGTTTAGATCAAATTATTCATATCATATTGATAGTTTAGATCAAACTATTCATATCATATTGATAGTTTAGATCAAATTATTCATATCATATTGATAGTTTAGATCAAACTATTCATATCATATTGATAGTTTAGATCAAATTATTCATATCATATTGATAGTTTAGATCAAACTATTCATATCATATTGATAGTTTAGATCAAACTATTCATATCATATTGATAGTTTAGATCAAATTATTCATATCATATTGATAGTTTAGATCAAATTATTCATATCATATTGATAGTTTAGATCAAATTATTCATATCATATTGATAGTTTAGATCAAATTCATATCATATTGATAGTTTAGATCAAATTATTCATATCATATTGATAGTTTAGATCAAACTATTCATATCATATCGATAATCTATTGATCGGACACACTTAATCAATTAAACAAATTTCAATTGAAAAGACAAAATGTCCTGCGCATTAATCACATTTGCGGCATCTGATAAGTGTGTCCCATTAACAGTGACCTTTATGTTTCATTTTAACATTCATTAATTGACATTAGATAGATACTAACATAACCAGTAGCTACATTCTACGAATTTTCAGTTTTCAAAGAGAATAATTTCATTTAATAGTAAATTCAAAAATTTTCGTAACGACTAAACCGTTCATTTTTATGTTTTCCGGAATTCCGTTATATCTAAAATTCTCAACATAACCTAACTACTCTTATCTTATCATTTTCTATTCCATCATATCAGTAACTATTTTTTGAAATGATTACTGATATGATAGAAGCAGTATCAGACAGCAATGCCAGATAACTTTATAATAAAATTTTCTAAATTTGCCGTATGTAAGTAGTAGCAAAAGAAAAAAAAAATGGATAGATTAAAATTTTTTTCAAGTTAGCTTATTTGAGTTTTTTTTTTAAAAAGTAAAATATTATTATATTTAACTTTTTAGAAAAAATCTGCAAGAAATTATCAAATAAAGAAACTGTAAATGCTATCCGATCAAGTAATAAATCATTGATATCATCATTTTGAACAAAGAAAAAAAAATTGAGAGTATTAAATTTAAAATATTAAAAACTTAAGCAAAGTTTACAAATCCATCCGAGAATTTTAATCGAAGTATATTCCTAAATGGAATTCATTTTATAATAAATTCATCAATTAGATGATAAATTAATGTCATTGTGTAAATATTTTATTTGAAATTATTAGCGCTTTTGACATATAATCTTATAGGCTTATGATCTGACTCAAATCTTATGGCTCAGTTTTCTTTAGATATTTTGGCCCAAGTTACCTTCTGTGCATTGTCCTTAAGCTAAATATGCTAATAATCTGATGGTAATAAATTAGTTTAAAGAAAGAAATTTAAAAGAGCCAAAATATGCATTTAGTATGTTTAGTCCTTTACGGAATATGTACAAAGTAAAAAACAGGAAAGTATTCCTTTTATTTATATTTTCATGCATCTTTTAGTTTTTCACGGAACACGTGCGTCTCAATTGTAATATTTTAATTCCGTAAAAAAAATATTAAACAGAAACGGAAAAAAAAAAAAACAGAACATACATACTATGAATAAATGACTAATTGATAAATTTATTTGTTAATGCAAAAATTATTGCCGCAAACAACTGCTTAAAGCTAATTTATAAATGAAGAAAATTGAACAATGATAAATGTGCGGGAATTTCTGCAATTAATTTTATGAGAGAATTGAATGAGAGTAAAGTATTCGAGAAAGATGAGAATAAAAATTTCTCACGGAAATGAGAAAAAAGCAAAAACAAAGGCAAAAGCCAAAAAAAAAAAAAACGGAAGGAAATGATAGATAGCTAAGTTATATTTAATAAAAGTAAGACATAAGTAAGCTTAGAATTTTGAGTAATTTTAAGTAATTAATAAATAAATTTTGAATAATTTTGAGTAATTAATAAATAAATTTTGAGTAATTAATAAATAAATTTTGAATAATTTTGAGTAATTAATAAATAAATTTTGAGTAATTAATAAATAAATTTTGAATAATTTTGAGTAATTAATAAATAAATTTTGAGTAATTAATAAATAAATTCTGAGTAATTAATAAATAAATTTTGAATAATTTTGAGTAATTAATAAATAAATTTTGAGTAATTTTGAGTAATTAATAAATAAATTTTGAATAATTTTGAGTGATTGATAAATAAATCTTGAGTAAATGGAAAGGTAAGAATTCATAATATTTGGTTAAATTTTAAAAAAAAAAAAAAAGATTTATATCATTTTGCAAGTATTACTGACTACTTTCTTTGAATTTCTGTTTCCTAATTTCATATATTCGAATTTTTTGTAAATTTTAATTACAATTTTTGCATATTTTAAAGGGCAGGAGAAATATGAGAAAATTTTTTTAGTTGGCGTAATTTTAATAGAAAAAAAAAAAAAAAAAAAAGAAAAAGATTTCTCAACTTTAATTATTATTAAATGAACCTTTTGAAGAATAAATTTTGTATGCAAAATTATTTTGCTTATAGCAACCAAACGTATTATATTGCTACTGTTAAAATTTCATTTTTCATTAAAAAGTTTAAATTAAAATTTGAATTTTTTTTTTATTTAAAAAAAAAAAGAAAAAATGTTACCTTTTCGATCGAGAAAAATTTCAGAGCACAGTGGTTTTTCCACAGAACATCGAAATACAGCACCGCCATTTTTGACACCTGGTTGTTTGGCACCACTGTTTGCTTTTGGTGAACCAACAAGTAAACTGCAAATCAGTAATTGAAATTTTAATCCTAAAATCATTTAGAACTAAAATCCAATAATATTTTTTTTTTTTGTCAGTTTAAATTTTGACAGCAAAAAATGACGAAGTTTTTTTTTTTTTTTAACGGAAAGTAAAAACATTCATAGCTTCATTTCATAAATGTGTTACTGTTATGTTATGTAATTTAAATTTTATGATTGAAATGATTTAAAACTAAATTTTAAATTAGTCTACGATTGGTCATCAAAATTTTAAATGTACTTTTAGCAACAATTTAAAGTTTAAATTGCTAAAAATTTCGAAAAATTATTCACCAAATACATTTTGTTTTTAACTTATTTTATTGCTAATAAAATCGGATATTAAGCAAAGATCGTAAATCGGTTGACAATGATATTCTTTTCATTGTCACCTAATTTAATTAAATCGTTTGATATAATTAATGAGATTATCTATTTTCTAAAAAAAAAAAAAAAAAAAGTAGAAAAGGTATGGAATATTAAAAATGCTTCTTTCCGGTTTTTATCCTCATTCATTTCATATATTATTTTTGCCTGTTTTCCGGTCTGTACTGCAAAAAAAAAAAAAAAAAAAAAAAAAAAACGGAACCTAAGATATTTTTATCTTAGATTCATCAATCAACGATTCTATCTAATTGTTAAGTTTGAGATAGATTAATCATACTTTTTTTTAAAAAAACTTTAGGAAATTTGAAATTTTTACTTCAAGAAAAATATTTCAAAAAAATGAAATTTATAGTAAAACAAAACGAAAAAACCGGAATATAAATGACGAATAAACAAACTAATCGATTGATTTTTGAAGAAATGTCCAAATTTTTTTTTAAATATTTTTAAATGCTACTTTTTTTTTTTGCAAATACTTACTTTTACTTAGAGATAAATAGTAAATCATTGAGAAAGTGCCACGAGAATTTTTACAAATAACCAATAATGTGACATGTCCTTTTGTTAAATTTTAATTTTGAAAGTCTTTTTATTATCAAACATTTCAATCAAAATTCAAAATGACACAATTAGTTGAAGAGCAATTTTTCCTTTGCAAAAGTAAAAAATGGCGCAAATTTGATCATAAATTAATTAGATTAATGAATTTGAACTATCAAATTAATTAAATTGTTTTTCTTTCTTCTTTCTTTTGCCTAAAAACATATTAATTAAATCTTTTTTTTTTTCTTTAATATGAATCATATAATGACCTTAATTTACTTCTACTAAAATTTTTTTTTTCTTTTACTTTATCATCACTTCTTAACTTATAATTTTAAAATTCTAAATTTAGTGTGTTAAAATTGAAGAAAAGTTTTGGTGAATTTTCGAACATCAAAATGTACACAACAAAATTTAAATTAACCTAATCTATTTTTAAGGTTTATTTATTTAAAATTATATTTAAATTGAAATTAATGTAATTTACAATGAAATGTAAATTAATATATGATAATTAATGATAAAAAAAAAAAAAAGAGTAATACTTACAGTGTCATTCCTTCATGCTGATAAAAATCAATGGAATAACCAAACATAGAATTAGCACTGCTTCGATGAATTACTGGATGTCTAACATCAATGTTAAATGAAACAATCAGTGTTGTTAAATTTAGCAAATAAATTAAATTAGAAAGGTAACCAAAAGATTGTTGTTGAAATTTAAAATCGAACATTTTTTTTTTTTTTTTGATGGCTTTTTACCTGAAATTAATTAATTTTAGTCTTTTTTCTTCTTTTATTTCTCTTTCTTTTCTTTTAGTAGAAAATAAAAAAAAAAAAAAAAAATTAGAATGTGAAATGATGAAAATTTTTAAATCAATGCTGAATTTCTTATAGAAATCTCTAAAATTTCAATGATCAATTTTAGCTTATAATAAATGTTAGCTTGCAAATGTTAGCTATCATTAGCATATAAGGATGAATCATTTGCAAATGAGAAAAAAGAAATTTGCCATCAAATTTCACACCCTAAAATCTCTTAGAAATATATTTCAATTCTTCCGGTTACCACATCTGCAACAATTCTATTATCAATCAGTTGCAATATTATTTCAAAGAGAGAGAGAGAGGGAGAGGGAGAGAGAGGGAGAGAGAGAGAATATGATTCGTAATGATGTTTGAAATTTGTTTATGAATGACACACTGATATTTCAACTTCATTACCGCAAATCAATATTTAACAATTGCGAAATTCGTTGAAAGTTTATTTCAAAAAATGAAAAAAATTATTTATTTCTAATTTTATTTTTTAATTCTCTTAATGAAATGAAAATTTGTAAAATATTTTTAATGAAATGTTCTTACTTAAATATATAGCAATAAAGCATCAAAGTGAAGCTTTAATGAATTTAAAAAACAAAAAAAAATTTAAACTTGTTTGCTTGTTATTTTGCTTTTCATTTTTTTTTTTTTTTGAAATACTTTTGAGATGAATTATTCTTTTCATCATATTACGATGTATCAGATGAAAGTTACTTTTTATTTATTTCATTTTTTTATTACACGATAAACAATTCCAGTAGATTTTATTTTTAAATTTGCATTTTATGGCATTTTGAAAATTTATATTTTATGGGGAAATTTTTGAATAGTAAAAATGGAAAGATAAAATTGGATAGCATTGTTTGTAGAATATCACATTAACATTTATGTGTATTCAATTTCCAATTTATTCATTTAATAAATTCATTATGAAATGAGATCTTTTCCTTCCTATTTATGGTAAAATAATCTAAAGAATAATAAAATATTGGAGGAAAAAGAAATGAAATATCACTAAATATTTGATTATAATTTATAATTCACCAAATAAAATACGAAGAAAATAATATCTTAAAAAATATTATCAATTCTAAGTGATTCATTCAGTTGATAATAAATAATTCAATATTAATTAAAATTATCTCCGTACTTAATTGAACTATCAGGTTGCAATAAATTATCCCAATTTACAAATCAATCAAAAGAATGATAATTCCTTTTTAAAAATTAATTCTAACTAAAAAAATGATCAAAAAAAAATATTAGAATAATAAAAATTCCAAGTTTAACGAAAAAATGAAATACGGAAATTTGACTGATATTAATAATAAGACAGAAAAAGAAAAGAGGAATAATGATGCAAGAAATGACTCATATAGCTAACCATAATGGAAAGGATATTAAAAAAAATGTTTAATGTCGGTTCTTTCATCCATCCTTTCCGGTATATATTTGATTCTTTCATCCATCCTTTCCGGTTTTTATTTCCGTATAAATCTTTCTTTTCTTTTCTTTTTTTTTTTTTCTCCAAAAAGCATTAAATGCAATTTTTGAGAAAAGAAATATGAATGGTTAGTTAGTATGGGGCGGGTATGGTGCGACAAAAGCACTCTTTAAACTAACCCTCTGCGCTTGCTTAAGCTATCGATCCATTTTCTAAAATACACTGCTATTTGCACTTTTCACTTCATTTATTGAGGGAAACGAGAGAAATACAATTTTTTTTTTTGTTTTTAAAAAAAGGTATCTGTGAGAGATTTGAATTTAAATATAGAAATTGATTTGATTAAATAGTTTCGAAATGAGAAATGACAATATCGATAATTGAATGAATGTAAAAAGTAAAATGATATTCCTAATTAATATTTTAAATTATGGTAAATTAATTATAATCATGGTAAATTAATTATAATCTTATTCATAATTTTATTCAAAATTTCCTACAATTTTTTGAGGGAAATTATTGGAATTATTCTAAAGTAATTTTGGAAATTAATTATTAAAGTTTTTTTAAAAGTTCATTTATTTAGCAAATTTTAGGATTGATTAAAAGATATAAGAAAAATAAGAGATAGAATTGATATGTGCTCAAATGTCATTAAGTTCCTGATTTAATTGTCCAAAAATATACATTTATACTTTTTAAATTATTAAATAATTCAAGGCTTCTCATTCTTTTTAGCGCAAATATAAATTGAGTTAAGCCATCATTATGTTTCATTTATTAAGATTTATTTATATTTATTTATACTTAACTTACTTATACTTTCCTAAACATACTTATACTTTGTCTTTTTACCAATTTAGTGAAAAAATATGATCAACAATGCCAACTGCATAATTCAGAGTCTCAAATGCCTAACGATATGTAACATACTTTTACCATTGAATAACAAAAAGTTTTTTTCTCTTTTTCAATCGATAATTATAAATAAATGAAATTCTGCGAATATTTTACAAAGCTGTAATTAGTAATTTTAATTAATGAAAATAAAAGAAACGAACGAATTGAATTGAAAAATTAATACGAATGGACAAATAAAAGTGATAAAAAATAAATGCGAACGAATCACTCAAAATTAACAACAAAAATCTCGAATTCAAAATGATTCATATGACATTTTAAAGTTTTGAATCAATACAATTCTTCATTTTTTTTTTCTGCCAAGAAAATAAAAACATGAAAATCTTTTCAAACACATTTTAAAAATCACAACAAAAAAAAAAAAAAAAAAAAACGAAATCAAATGAAAAAGAATAAATTGAAATAAAACTACTATTTTCAAAATAAATTGATAATTAATTAAACAATTAATTGATAAATAAAGTATAAAATCAGGATAAAATAATGAAATTAAAATTTGTTTATGTTTAGTTTTCTCGTTTAAGCTAATCATTTATCCTATTTAATCTTTCATTATATATCGGACATTAGCGCTCTTAGTTTCTTACTATCTAATTGTGCAAAAAAAATAGAATAATGAATGGTGCAAAGGATTAGTTCTGCTTAAGCCTTCTAAATAAAATGATAAACTTTTTGGAACAGATTAGCAGCAACAAAAAAAAAAAAGATTAGCAAACAGATAGAAAAGAGAAAATAGAAAGAGATCTATTGAATGTAACAATAAAATTAACAAATTTTAACTCTTCCAAAAATTTTACTCTAAAGAGAGAGTAAAATGTCTTTTTACATTATTAACGTTTAATGAATTCAACAAAAATACCGCCGCCGCTACTGCTGCGCTTTTGTTACACAGTATTTAGAGATTTGAAGGAAAGATGAAAAAGTATAGATGGAGCTAGCTAGCTAGCAATGAGATAGAAAAGTATTAACAGTTAAGTTGAGCTAACTGATCGTTAAGCTAGAAAAATGACAGAGGGAAGAAGGAAGGATCAGTGCAGCAGAATGAATTGATTGAATTGATTGATTGATTGGATCGGGTCGGGTCGAGTGAGTTGGATTATTTAGCACTTGAACAGCTGTTCAACACATAATCAATGCAATATGCGTACACTCTTTGCTAACTTTTACAAAATAATATTTTGCTATAACAAATAATATTAACTTACTAATATGAAATTAAAATAAATTTGAAATGATTTGCTTTTATTTCATTGAAATATTTGAAGAACAGTGATTTTTAATACTTTAAAACTATCTGATTTTTATATTTTTGCATTTGATTTAATCTTCATAGCAATGATAATTAATAATAGTAATAGTATTAATAATAATATTAATATTAATAATAATAATAATAATAATAATACAATATACTTTTTATTAATATTTATTTAAAAATTTTTTTTTTTGTTGCAATTTGAAAAATTTAATTTCAAAAATTTGCCCATATGATTCATATTTATAATAATAGTACTTTATACAGGAAGCAATTGAAATTTATTGAAAAACCATTTCCTTTCAACTTTATGTCACGATGTTTATAATCAATTTATTTTCTATCCTTTGCATTACTCGTGACAACTTATAATCAGTGAAAAATTGATTTGATTTATTTAAAAAATCAAAGAGTTCTTTCTTCTTTTTTGTTGAATAAAGTTCATTCGTTAAATGTGTGAAATTTGCAGTAAATTTTTAACTTTAATATTTTTAAGACATTAATTTGTTTTTTTTTTTTTTTTTTATTTCTTTGCTTCCTTTATTTATTTATTGATGGATAAATAATTTTAAAATTCATAAAAAGAAATTAGGAATATTGCTTTGCAATTTTTAAAATCCAAAAACGAAATTGTCTTTTTAATGATCGGTATTATTAGATTTCATTAAACTAACTGAATATTCTTTCTAATTTACAAGTTAACTTTAAGCATTTCTAATTACTAATATTTTTTGAGTGAAAAAGATGCTATTAATTAATTAAAACGAAAAATAAATAAATTTCAAACAATTATGAAACAATAAATAAATAAAAGAAGTAAAGTGAAAGATAAATGAAGAAATATAAAATAGTTTGATTTAATTAAAGGAATTTTTGAATTAAAAAAATAAATTGCTGATAAAATATAAATGAAAAGATAAAGTGATGATAAAAAATTTATATTTTAATTTCAATTTTTTTTTTTTTAGAAAAAATGAATGATAGTGCAACGAATAGAAACGAATGAAATGATCGGATGTTCAGAGTTATGATTCAACGAGAAAAAATGATCACTACCCAATCAAAAATTTTGAAATATTTTGACTAAAATAAAAAAAAAATTATTAGCAATATCTGACAAAAAAAAAATTAATTTTTCATTAACTTAGATTAGT